TTTAAAAGCATCCCAGTAAGGATGGTTTGGTTACTACATCATTTCTATACATATTTTATTGACTTTACTATTATTTTACATTGTGTAATAATAACGAATGTAGAGGTGTGTCGAAATCTGTCTGGCAGTGTAAATGTCTTGGGAAAGTAATAAAACTCCTCTTTGTTTACACATCCACACTACTAGTGTCAATAGAATCGATTTCCTCCAAGTCAGGCTGACAACAATTGTTAATTGTACCACTCTGGTTGATGCAAATACTCAATTCATTCATCTTTAAAGAGATTCATCCCCAATGGCACGCATTAAAAAACACACACATTCTCATATATCGTTTACTACCTCATTTGTTTACTCTCTGTGGCCATGTTATGTGCATTATAAATACTGAGCTGTCACCCTGGTGTAGTGTTTGAGGGGTGGGCTGAGGATGGGGGGTAGAAGCACTCTAGATGTGACTGTCAAATTGATTGACAGTTAAATTAAGGGCTAAAACAAAAGAATCAGTGACTCTTAGAGCATTTAATGCGAGATGTCAGATGCTTCAGACTATTGAGCATCAGTGTGCAAACGAGCATTTTCATTGGCTGGTGTAAGCCAAGTAAACTGAGGAGGGAGTCATTTCAAAAAACTTTCAGGATTGATTAAATTATGAAAAAGTCTCCATATTATGATGTCACGCAAAAAGAAAAGCTGTGTTATTTTGTTAGAATAGAATTATTCTGTTTGAAAAAACATGAGACAACAATAACATGTACACTACTGTTCAAAAGTTTGGATTCGGTAAGATTTTTTAAACATTATTGAAATAAGTCTCTTATGCTCACCAAAGCAGCATTTATTTAATCAAACATTTTGAAATATTATTACAATTTAAATCAGCTGTTTTCTATTTGAATATATTTTACAATGTAATTTATTTCTGTGATGCAAAGCTGAATTTTCAGCATTATTAGTCTACAGTGTCAAAAAAAAATGTAAATAAATTCTAATAACCGATATGGTACCGATATTGTGCAACAATAATAAATGTCATAATATAAAACAAAGCCGCTTATAGAGCTAAAGAAAAACTCATCACTCTCAAAAACTTAGATTTGTAATATGTTACAGTGGCAATTTTAGGCAAGATTAAAATAATTAATTTAATCCAAATTTTTGTTACTAGTTAACACGGTAGCTGATTCTCTTATATTCGATAGATCAGCTCCCAGAAATGGCATGCAAGGCATTATCCCCTTCTCTGCTTCCTTCATCCTCAGCCATGATGTGATATATGAGCAGATACATCCATCCTTCTGGGGCAAGAGATGAAAGAAAGTGTGCTCAGAGTGGGACAGTGTTATAAGAGCAGACCGAGCTTTCTTTTGGGAGAGCTCGGAGTGACCTACATTCCACAGCCCCCAGTCATAACACTGCAGGGTCATGTGACTACTGCCCTCAGTCAAAACAATAACATGAGGAGCAGTGGCTAAGGCTGGGGGCGGGGCTCCGGGATGCTTGCGTGCTAGCGGAGGCTTTGATGTCCTAACTCTTTGCAGGTGCTGAGAGAAGATGGCTGGGTGATAAACTCTCTCTTTACATGGCAACCACAAAAACACAACTGCTTCTTATTTTGGGGAAAAAAACTAGCAAATGTCGGACAGGAAACAGATTTCCCCATTATGTTGGGTTGATGTAACTTATATGACACTGTTAAAGCAGCAGGAACCAAGGAGATCTTAAAGGAACAGTTCACCATTTACTCACCCTAATGTCCAAGTTGTGTGGAACACAAAAGAAGACTTTTTGAAGTATGTTCACGCTGCTCTTTTACATACAAGTCATTATGAATCATCAAAGCTCATTTTAATCAACTGACATTCAGGATTAATTTATTAAAGTTTCTACATGATGATGTCAGAAGGCGGAGAAAGTTAAAGGATTAAGAGAAGTTTTTCAAAGAATTCGTAATTTTTTAATTTATATTTTTATTTATATTTATAAGTAGTCTCTTATGAGACTTTAAAAATACAATAATGTTGTGAAATGTTATTAAAATTTAAAATAACTGTTTTCAATTTAAATATATTTAAAAATGTAATTTATTCCTGTGATCAAAGCTGAATTTTCAGCATCATTAGTCTACAGTGTCACATCATCCTTCAGAAATCATTCGAATATGATGACATCTGTAGAAACATATTAGGGATGCAGAAGTATTATGATTCTGACTGATACCAGATAGCCGATAATTATTATTATCATGCTATGGTCAATAACCGATAAGAGCCGATATCAAAATTCTATTCTATTTAATCCAACTAAATGAAAAATAAAACACTAAAAACTAAAATCAGGCATCACAACAGTTTAATGTACAGTCTAAAAAAATGTATATTCATTTTGAGACTTGCAAAGATTTAACAGTGTTATTAAATTATTGTTTATATGTTTCAATATGGTATATAGTGGAAACCATTACACTTTTTTTTCAGGATTCTTAGATGAATTGACAGTTTATTTAAAATAGAATTTTCTTGACACAATGGAAAAGTCTTAATTGTCATTTTATTGACATAATTTTTTATTAAATTTAATGCATCATCACTGAATTAAAAAAAAACTTACTGTCCCCAAACTTTTGCACGGTATTGTATTAGGAAAGTAGTTTTTTTTTTTTTTTTCATTTTAACTTCAAGGATCAAACACTCAACCAACTAACAATATAAATCAATAACTTAAGCAGTACATTACTGGTATAACAAATATTGGTTTAATATGATGCAAACCAAGCTGACTAAAGTTTCCTCATTAAGTCTTGGTAATTCTCAACCCTTTCTAAAACAGATATTTGGATTGCATTTGGACTGAAAAGTCACAGCTCAACATGTTTCAAGGTCCAAGTGACACCATTTGCATTTTGCTTGTGTTGTGTTTGCCAACTGGCAGTGGTGGTCCTTTATGAATGATGCACTCTCACTAAAAAAGTGCCAGGATTTGGTAGAAATCAGAATGTGTGCTCACAGAAAGCTGTCTGAAATTGTGCTGACCTCTGATGTCACAAAAGGAAGTATAGGCACAGGTTGACCCTCTATAGGTTTTAATTACATCTATGCTTTAGGTGTAATACACTGTAATGCTGCACTCTAGCATATTGTCTATTTGTTACCCAACGCTTCCCACCCATATGTCATCTGATTGGATCGTTTTCCTAGAATGCTTTAATCCATGGAGATTAAAACCCCTAATTTAATGCTCCCAGCCCACCTGTTTAAAGTGCATGCATCTTATTTCTCCATTTTTAGTGTCTAGTCTGATTTCTCCATTTCTGAAAAAAAAACAGTTCCTTGAATCATGTCCCTATGAGGTTATTCTGGTCACAGTGTCTGCAGAATAAATACAAATCTAAACAATATATACATATATACATAAATATTAATCATGCCTCAATAATGTAATGGCTTTGAATCATCTCCATTTGGGGGCTTTTCTTAACAAATATTTGAACACATTATGCCATTTTGTGATTAATTTAATTAATTGCCATATGTTAATTTATTGAAAGACATAATTAATTACACTTTTATATAAATTGACAGCTTTAGTTTCTATAAATAAATACAAAATTTGTCCCACAATATACATTTCAAAATAATATAAATGATTTTTATTTATTATTTATTATTATTTATTATAATCTACTTATTATATTTATTATTTAAATATTTGTATTTATTATTTTTAAAACTAATTACGATTAATTTAAATTAATTAACACAATTTAATTTACATTTACATGTGTATTTATTTTTAATTGTTTTACGGCTCTAGTTTCTATAAATAAATAACAAAACTTGTCACACAATATATTTCAGAATTATATGGCCAAAAGAATTTAGGAAATTTCTGAGAGGCTACATAACATTAATTTTGATTATTTCAATAATTAACGGACTCAGTTAATTAACTGACAACATAATTTAATTGCATGTTTTAACTGATTGATAGCTCCAATTTCTATAAATAAATAAGAAAACTTGTCCCACAATACATTTTTCAAAACTATATAGTCAAATGTGTTTGGGTAAGTAGAGCCTAGAGGCTACATGACATTAATTTGGATTATTTTGAATAATTAATAAGTTGTTATGTATTGACACATAATTAAATTACTTGTTTTAATTTATTTACAGCTCTAGTTTCTTTAAATAAATAACAAAAATTATCCCACAATACAAAATTATATAGCCAAAGGTATTTGGGAAAGTAAGAGCCAACATGTCATTACATTTAATTTCAATAATTCATGGAAGTGAATTAATTGATGAATAAATTAATTGCATCGTTTAATTGATTGAATTGAATAAATCTTTAAATAAATCACTTAAGCATGCAAACATGTAAATGTAATTTTTTCCCAAAAAATTAATACATGGTAATATGAATGAAAATGCATATACATTTATTTTCAGGTTCTGAAAAATCAAGGACAGCATGTGATTTGGAATGGGTGCATTTCAACCAATACATGTAATAGGTGATTATATTCTTCCTATCTTTGAATATGCTTTGGATTTGACCATATGTTCCAGCCGAATGAAAAGGTAAGTGATTGTCTCACCCTGCCCTCCAGATAACCTCTGAAGAGGATTCAGAACTGTGCACTATAAGCCCCTCTTGTCAGCGAAAACAGTGGGGGTCTTTGTGATCAGTCCGATTAGACGTGTAAAGCTGCATAAAGCCACTTTTGCTACAGGTTATCACATTTTCTTCAGGAATACGTCAGACAGAGGTCATTATGACAGACCAGCTGCCAACAATAGTCCAGTGTAGCTGAATTTACTATGGTACGACAGACATGCTATAGGATGTTAGGAATAATCAAGTGTGAATTTAAACTCACCATCTAAATTACACACTGTGGATCCATAGAAGCTTTTTGTTCATTTGAACACATGTGTGCTTTAGTTTTACATCAGGTAACTGCTGAAAAGCTTGAGGGATTTCCCTCCTGATTGCTCCAGTGTGTCTCATAAAAGCTCCCCAAAGCCTTGATGTCCTTCTCAGGTATGACCTAATGAATCTGGCACAAGATGAAAGTGAGGATATGCTCTTTTTTTTCTGGGAAAGTAAGAAGAGAATGAACGTCGCACATTCACTGTCAGATGTAAGATGTTCAGTCATGGCTCATTACGTTTTATTCTTAGCAGCCATTTGTAGCACTTTACATAAAGTGCAGTCGGAATTTATGTGTAATTGCACATTTTATTCATCTCGGTCTGAGATGTAGTTATTATTTTTGAGATGTTTTATGTAAAGGCTAAGCATCGATTTGACTGAAGTTTGATATCAGTGTCTAATGGGTCTGGGGCGCACAGCTGGAAATGAAGGTTTGCAGAGGCTGTTTTATCATATGAATTTTCATAACAACGTTCATCCTCTATCACAGCAGGGGATCACTGTTTACCTTGTCTCCCTGTCTTTGAGACATCCTGTCTGCATACTTCCATCAGCCTCTTTCCAAATTAGCTTCTTAGATGAGCGAAATGATGAGGATTGATCTGGACAAAGAGATAATCCTAGAAAATAAATCTGAAAAGCTCCAGTCATATGCTTGATATAAGGATCTGCCCGCTTATTTTATGTAGACTGTCATATAATCTTATACTCTATATCCATGGAGTACTAAATACTTTATGATGTTTCACCATGCAGTTAGCCTATATGATCATTCATTATGAATCATACAACTGAAACTAGAGGATGTATACAACGGAGTCTACTTTGTAGCTTTCAATGCCCTCACCAGATGCCTATAGCTATAATGTACAGCACTGTATGACTGTGTATATTTATTTATTTATTATAGACAGACACAACACTTAGGGCTTCACACACATGGACAGTCAGACAGACAGAGAGATAGATAGATAGATAGATAGATAGATAGATAGATAGATAGATAGATAGATAGATAGAAGAAATAATAATAATAATAATAATAATGTGCTTAATATTCATTATTCATATACCAGTGCTTGATTAATATTCATTATTCATATAGCCTACCAGTCAAAAGCTTTTGAACAGTAAGATTTGTAATGTTTTTTAAAGAAGTCTCTTCTGCTCACCAAGCTTGCATTTATTTAATCCAAAAAAAAAAAAACAGTAAAATGTTTTGAATATGTGTACTATTTAAAATAACGGTTTTCTATTATATTTTATAATGTAATTTATTTCTGTGATTTCAAAGCTGATTTTTTTTTAGCATAATTACTCCAGTCACATGATCCTTCAGAAATCATTCTAAAATTTTGATTTGCTGATCAAAAAACATTTATTATTATTATTATTATTATTATTATTATTAT